ATTACTTGTATCTGATGATGACAAAACCTTGTCGAAACGTTGTACATTTGCTGTTATGTTAAACTTATATTAAAGTTTTTCTTTATTACCCATTCAGGCCGTCTCCTGCCATTATTAATATTATCAATGTTTATGATGATTGGATAAAGTGTGATGAAGTAATTGTTGGATTAAGCAAGTAGCTAGCAAATGATATAAAGCACTAAAACTGCCTTTAACAATAATTTAGTATTAGAGCTTTTGAACAATACGACTTTTGTGCTCATTGGTTCACTTCTTTTCGAGAAAACTTCATATGAAGATCTTTCTAGGATTGTTCAGGGATTGACATACTTAGATAGGAATGATGAGGCCAAGCAGTCATATGAAATAGTTGAATAACATTTCTTGTTGTTTCTATTAAGTGCTCAGAGTGTTCTAGATGTCAAGAACACGTTGAAAACGATTCTTACAGTACAAATTCAGGTCAAAACAGAATGGCCCTGCACAAAAGTAGCCTTGCTTTTCATCAACATTTTGAGAGTTTCATTGCATTTTTCAAAGTAAGGGATCAAACTCTCAACTTATGCAAAGTTTTATATGAGAAATTGGTCTAGCAGGTTTTCTCTTGCTCAAAATTGCCATCAAAATATAGCAATTTCTGTATGATCTTTGGAGGCTGAAATATTAATATATCGGTAGACATCCTTTGGAATTTAAAGTAAGAGCACTTGTAAAAATAGGTGATGTAATGTAATTTGTTTCATGAAATTAATTAGTAACTTTAAATCTAGATGCTTAGCATGTCTGTGTTTTTTCTGTGCTAGTAGTAAAGTCACTCAATAATTATTAACTGTAATATGTTATTTGTATTTTGAGAAAGATTTGTTTATTTAATGTTGGATTTCCAATCTCTCCTGCTAGTAAATACCGTATTATATCTCAGTCAGTAAAAGCAAGATTCTGGTACAAACCATTCGAACTTTGGTTTACACAGTTAAATATTTTAATAAGTTGTTGCTCATAGGTAATGTTAACCTAAAAATTAAACATCTCTATATCACGTATTCAAATCCTCTTCTTAAATGATGTCATGCGATATACACATTGTCTTCAAATAGTGATTGATGGATTGGTTATTGGTGTATCATGTTTGAAAGCATATATATATATTAAAATCTGCATCTATTGATGAATAATCAAATTACTTAAGATGTGAAACTTATTAAATTGTTCCAGTATGAGCTAGCTGTGTATTGTAGAATTCATATCTAAGTTATAAGTACTTAACTCTTTCCATGTGGGGTCTGTCAATGTGACCGACCTTGTAACCACAAAGTAACCATCAGATTTTCTATACTATAACTTTTAATATGTTCTGTGTATCTTCACAAAAGTGGGCAAGCTTTCAGTAAACATTACAAGCCTTTTGTAGAACAAAAAATCAGATTTTCTAATTAAGTGTTTTTGCTAAAGATCTGTCCATAAATATATGGAGTCAGAGTGTTGACTGATCTGAGTGCAAAGTATTTTCACGTTGAGATTTCTTCATCTGAAAATTGTCAAATTTCATTTGCATAACCTCTGAAACCTCCAAAATAAATATCAAACTATTTTTCAGTAAAACGTTATATTTTATCTCTTATTTTCTCCAACGTAACTCTGTGTATGGACTTGATCAATTTCATCGACCTTGTAACCACCATCAGTGAAATGTGATATAAATCTAAGTTACCCTATTTTTTCTTTCTAAAACGACTGCATATTGTAACAGGAAACTACAATTGTTTATCCTAAATAGCTTAAAGCTCATAACAGTATACATGTGTTTATACCTAATTTTATTGTTTTATTGACCTTTAAACCATATCTAACAAATAATCCCACCACACAAGTTGTAAATTACATGACAAACACTTACCTAATGTTACCACATTGAATGGTGTAATGCACAAGCTGCTCGTGAGCATAACTCATGAAGGATTTTTATTATCATTATTTTTTCATTATCTTACCTAAAATAAGTTTCAAATGTTTACATTTTAGTTACTTTGTTAACAATAAATAAAGAACATAAATGAAAACCAAGAAATATAATACTTACCTTTGACCTTTTATGTTTTTGCTGTCAGTTACCGATTAATTTTAAGCCTACTTTTTTTATAATGATGGTATTAGTATACTAAATAATTTTAATTACTTTAGTAATGCATCTAAGAACACAGAATAATAACAGACACAAAGAAAACAATGTCCTATAACTATTATAATTTAATTGGCTTTCTAACTAGGACAAGAGGGGGGTTAAATTAATTCCCTTTGCTGCTTGATCTCAAGATGAAATGGACAAAGCTCTATACAGAAAACAACATAGAATTACGCGTCATTCAATATATTAAAACTTTGCCTGCTGTTGGTTATAAATGATTAATATGAAACATCAGAGTTATTAGTAATATCTACATTATACTGAATAATTTACATTAAATTCTATATTTCAGAGAGAGGTGGTAAATAAATTAAAGAAGGGGGGGATCTAGAGAACACGTGTCACAATATTAGGGGAGATAGAGGATTTTTAAAATGTCTCCATACACAATTAAGTACTTAAAACTTATATAATATTAAAATTAGGTTTATTGACTATGCTTCAATGCCAAATTTATTCATACATGTTTGATAATAAAGTTGTTTTATTTAAATTTGAATGTAAATCTGTAAAAGGTTGTGACATGTGCACTGTGACCTACTCACAGTGAGGGGGTTAAAGCTGTTCATAAACTTTTAAGAGGTTAATAAACAAGACTTCACTTGCTCCATACACAACAGGGAATTTGGAAGAACTCGCATTTACTAACATAACAATGTTTCATATTAATTGGAGTACTAGTAGTTTTAAATGGTGTCACCCAATATGTAACCCTTTTGTTGTTGTTTTTCAAAAAATTTCCTGTAGTTTGATATTGTGTTACTAACAGAAATTTTTTCTTTTTATAGTAGCACTTTATGAATAAAAGGATATTTGTTTTGTAATTTATAGACACACTAGAATAAAATATGTTATTAATTTTGCTCATTAAATTTTTTTAATGTGCTTTAGTTAGCTGCTTCAAGTTCTAAATTATCATTTTGTTGGTCAAAAGCAACAGCCTTACTAAGATCAACCAAATGTATATGAAACTGTGATCAAAAATTAAACTTGAACATTATATCTGTTTCTACATTTTTATAGATAATCTTTATTTCATTTCACCACATCTTTTGAGAAGCATGTGTACTTTACATCACATCCTGTTGTAAGTCTTGTTTCTATGGCTCTTTTTTTTATCACGAGTGTTTTGTTTTCAAGAATATTGTAACATTATATTTTATAACTATATCCTAACTACTTAGAGCCTAGAAATTCATTTAAAAATGTCAACATTAAAATGAAGTAGTATAGGAAACATTATTAGTGGCTTGTTCATGGTCTATTACCAGCAAAACTAAAAAAAAAAAATACATGTCACTTTAAGTTGTGAGTTCTTTATAAGAGTGACTTTCAAATCTTCCTATTCATTAGCTCAAGCTTAGGCAATGGGTAGTTTTGAGTAGCTTCCTAGTGTAGATAGGCCTCAAGTAGCTTTATACAACAACAACAACAATACTAATGGCTCCTGTGAAACATATTTATAACACAGATGTGAAAAACTTGGAACCATGTGCATAAAATGCTTCAAATTATCTAAGATGTCCATGGAGATTCCTAAAAAAAAATTAATATTAATATGTAAATCAAATATCACTGTGCATCAGAATGCAATACTTGGATTCTCTGAAAACTTTACAATTAATAATTATAACCTACTTGCACTAGCTTCTAATGCTATTATTTATTTCAACTTAGTAAAATTTCACTCAAATAGTTGTTGAATAGATGAGTAATCTTATTCAAGGGTACAGGTTGACTTTGTAGTAATGCTCGGGATTTTAGAGCTTGAATCCATACAGTACCATATTTTCCACACTTTAAGCTTTGGGTGCATTATAAGAGTGACCATTAATCCCTTAACATGGATGGTGGATGCTGCTAACTTGCTTTCACTCCTTTGGTCAGTAGCTCAAAATAGGGATGACAGCAGACAAGTCTTAGTATCTTTGACATAAATACTAACACTAGTTCTTTATTGATAAACCTGTTTATGTTTTTATGAAGTAAACTTTGAATAGAAATGATAAGATCTTTCTTTATAGGCAAGCAAATCAAAAAAGGAAATATCCAGAGTGCCGATAAAAAAAGAAGGTCCTCGTCAACTTTTTATCATACGCCATGCAGAAAGAGTCGACTTCACATTTGGAGCATGGATATCTGTTTGCTTTGATAGCTCAGGTATACATATACAAATATCTGATGTTTTAATAATGCTAGATGTTGTATTTTGCAGAAAAATGTAAAAAAACTAATCAAGTTATGTAACAACTTTGTCATTTCAAGTTCTTATGTAATCGTATAATGTAGTACTTTTTCATTCAGAAGTGACGTAACACGTGTAACAAATATATATATGTTACTTGTACAGTATTAGAAATATGTCTGAACTTTGTTAGAGGTTTCCATGAGTTGAATATACTTCAGTAACACAGTTTGAAGGAGGAGATAAATCAAAACTATTTTAGTTAGAGGTTTCCATGACTTGAATATACTTCAGTAACACAGTTTGAAGGAGGAGATAAATCAAAACTATTTTAGTTAGAGGTTTCCATGACTTGAATATACTTCAGTAACACAGTTTGAAGGAGGAGATAAATCAAAACTATTTTAGTTAGAGGTTTCCATGACTTGAATATACTTCAGTAACACAGTCTGAAGGAATTAATACTGTGAAATTGATATTATTAATATCTTAGGTTTATATCCAAGTCAAGGATTTTGTAAGAGTTGTAATTTAGTTGTGAAACATTTCCTTATTTTAAATTCTTATAAAACCAAGAAACATTATTTATATTTAAAGATAAACACCCTTAAAATAATGATTACTCTTAATGATTTACTAACTAAGATTCTGTAATTTTACACACTATAAAGGATAGGCTTTCAGTACGATTATTGTAATGCCCACAATTCTTTGTGGCAACACCAGATTCTATAGCCTTTCTATAAAATATTTCTATGTGTACCTTGTTGCATAATTAATTATGTTAAGAATTTATTTACAAATTCTTACCTGTCAATGTGGCTTGATACAAGCCAATATTAGTAAGAGGGCAGTCTTTCAAAAAGTCCTGTGAACCTCCTGATCGAGCAGGCACCGATATTGGCATGTTGAGATCTTTCCGTATATAGTTTCCTACAAAACACAAAAAAGCTATTTATCTGTGAAACTTCATTGTACTGCTAAGCTCAAAATGAAATGTCCAAAACTCTATCATCTACCCAAAGCTATTTTATTTATAATATTTCATCTTTTAGAAGTGAGATACGATCAAATAAGACTTGCAAGAAATGAAAAGTTGTACATTATAAAATAGTTTTGATTTATCTCCTCCAAGAACAATTCAAAAGCTTTGTGTGACAATAATTGCTAGTAAACTTAAAACACAATTCTAAAAGTTTATATCTAAAACTTAGAATGTCTAATAAAAAGAGTTGTGAAGATAGCGTATACACCAACTGTTAGATATAATAAACACAATTTGTGACAAAGTCAGCAGTGATTGAATGTTTTTAAATATAAAAAAATATAATCTCTTATAGGTGAAGCTTTGAGAGATGCTGGAATTAATTTTGTATTAGCCTACAGCTCTCCGTCCCTTCGATGTGTTCAAACTTGTACAAATATTCTTAGAGGTGAGTTCAATTGGTGATAAAGGATAAACTGTTTCTCTCTACGTTTGTATACATGTGTGTGTGTAATACATATGATTTCTTGCTATCTTATACATGTGTGTAGTATTTATGATTTTTTGCCCTATCATGTATGTGTGTGTGTTTCTTTGAAGAGTCACGATTATCCAGATTCATATTTGAACAGATTGTTTGTGCAAATGTTAAAGTGGAAATCTATGCATCATAAACAGAAAAACAAAATCCTTTTGAGGTTTTGAGTTTTTGTAGACTAGTTAATTATAAAATCATTAAAAATAATACTTCAAAACATAAGGTAACTGTAAATTATCTAAGGTAGTATGTATGATTATCAGCACAGTTTCATATTGTAAATATCACAATTAATGTACCAGGTAAACATTTTACCTGGTACA